GAAATAGCCAGCTAAATTTCCCACCTTATTTCCCACATACAATGTTACTGTTATGCGTTGCTATGGTCGTGCTGTTGTTATTTAGCAATCAGTCTCGGATGCAGAGAATAGGATATACTTTTCTAGTTCTCACTACCCACCCACATTCTCAGAACTTCTTGGCCTGTCTCCAGTAATATTTAACGCTGTACTGAGGAAAGAAAAATTAGGAAACATGTTTTATACAAGTGAATGGAAATCTGAATTTGTTTGAGATTGTTTGGTTTTCTTAAAAATCTTCTCAGATTTGAATATTCCAAGTAGATAAAAAAAAAATAAAATTTTTTTTACGGGGCTGGCAGGTAGCTTAGTGTATAAGGTGCTGGACTCTCACATGGCCAACTATGGTCTGAGCCCCAGACCTGGTAGCTTGAAAATCACACCAGGCATGTGTGTGTCCCAAAATGACAGGAAGAAAATAGAGGAGAAGGGATTGTGGCCTGGCCAACCCCTGGGGAGTGATTTCTCATTTTCGCTCTCTGTTTATCTTTGGTGAGCACATGTTCCCTATAGCAACAAAAACAACAAAAAAATCTTTTAGAAAGGTTTATTTATTTATTTATTTAACACTTTTATTTACCAAGGGTAAGGCCTTGGAATCTCAGCTGGCCAATCATTGCTTGAGTTTCAGACCTGGTGGCTTGAAAATCATTCTGGGCATGTGTATACACATGCCAAAATTCCAGGAGGAGAATGGAGGAGAAAGGATTGCCATGTGGCCATCTCCCACTGGGGGATGATTTTTCACTTTCCCCTCTCACTGTCTTTTTCTGGCAAGCACATATTCCCTGTGGCAAAAACCTAAAAAACAAAACAAAAAACCAAAAAAAATGTCTTACCAAAGCTGAAATAGTGTATAAGGTGCTGGACTCTCACATGGCCAACTATGGTCTGAGCCCCAGACCTGGTAGCTTGAAAATCACACCAGGCATGTGTGTGTCCCAAAATGACAGGAAGAAAATAGAGGAGAAGGGATTGTGGCCTGGCCAACCCCTGGGGAGTGATTTCTCATTTTCGCTCTCTGTTTATCTTTGGTGAGCACATGTTCCCTATAGCAACAAAAACAACAAAAAAATCTTTTAGAAAGGTTTATTTATTTATTTATTTAACACTTTTATTTACCAAGGGTAAGGCCTTGGAATCTCAGCTGGCCAATCATTGCTTGAGTTTCAGACCTGGTGGCTTGAAAATCATTCTGGGCATGTGTATACACATGCCAAAATTCCAGGAGGAGAATGGAGGAGAAAGGATTGCCATGTGGCCATCTCCCACTGGGGGATGATTTTTCACTTTCCCCTCTCACTGTCTTTTTCTGGCAAGCACATATTCCCTGTGGCAAAAACCTAAAAAACAAAACAAAAAACCCCAAAAAATGTCTTACCAAAGCTGAAAAAACACTACTAACACTTCACTCAGTTCTGACCACAGTAGGAAAGACCCAGCTCTTCAGCTTTCTCTGATGTAGGCAGAGGATGAAGTTCTGAAAGAAGATACTTTAAATCAAACGCTGGAGATTTAACATTTCCAGACTCTTAACTTTAGGGCTTTGTTTTAGAAAATGAATTTAAAAATTCAATCAATATTTTCCATCTAAATGCTTAATCAATAGTTGACATTTAGCATTGTACTTATCGTTCAGGATTTTATTAGTTTATGTACTTTAGTTCAGTTGTGGACCAGGTTTCTCTTGTATCATTTTCATGAACAAAGTGTACAAATGCCTAAAATGAAAATAATATATTTTTTTAAAAAAATATACAGGTATGAGTTACACACTTAAATATAGGGCATTTTATAACATATTCATTTTTTCTTTTTCGTTGATCCTCCCAGAGCTCACGAAAAGAACGGATGGGTTACATTTCCGAACTATGTGCATGGAAACTGAGCAGATTCTCAGTGATGGGTCATCAGTTTTGCATTACGACGTTCACAATCTTTATGGGTGGTCACAGATAAAACCCACTTATGAGTAAGCAAAGTTCACATTATCTTCTCTGATTTTTATCCTTTAGATCTTAAAATTAGTGATCCTTAATTTGAGTCTGACTGATCCTTTCTGATAGTCCTTTCCATCTCAATTGTTCTCTGTAACTTACTCTTCCATAGCTCTTAGGAAACTCATTTCTGTATATCTATTGATCTGTTTATCTACTTACCCAGGTATCTATCTGTATACACATAGGCATGTATATAAGTATGTATGTATCTTTCTATACAGGTTCTTATTTTTGTTCACTTTTATCTTAATCCAAAAAAAAATACTTACACCAATTTAACTATTTAACCCTATTTTTTCAGTCCTGTACCCAGCATAATGCCTGGAAAATAGTAGGTCCTGAATGAATAAAGTTGAATGAATAAGTAAAATATAATTTGATGTCATTGAATAAGCTATTATAGCTTGGATAAATAAATTCTTTCAATTCATTATTAGCCATTACCTTGTTCCCAGTAAATTTAACAGGAATTTTCTTCTAACATACAAGTAAGAAGTTTTAAGTTAATGAATACAATATTATTTCTAGTTTCAAAAGATGTTTTACTATATCATCTTATGTCTGCTTAATGCATTTTTAGTTTCTTGAAACTAAAAATTTTAAGATATTCATTTACTAAAATTTTTTTGAACTACTATTTTATATCCATCACTGTTCTTAATGTAAGAAAGAAAAGGAAGAGTAAAACGAAGCACTGAATCTCAGGATCTTCAAGGTCTCTCGGAAGAAGCTCTACATTAAGTAAATCAGTGATAACACTTGCATAATAAGCTGTAACATGGAAATGATTTAATATCATTGATAGCAAACTTCTTTATCTGCTCTTTTCAGAATATATATTCTAAATGTATTTATTTTTAAAGTTTATTTACTTCTTTTTCCCTAAGTAAGAGAGAGAGGGAGTAGCAGACATAGACAGAAAAAGAGACAGAGAGATAGGGACCCCCAACAGATCTTCACATTCTGATCTATTGTCCACTTCAGTCAGCCCCAGATCATGGGAACATGTTGGCCTGGCCTATGTTCAGGGGAATATTCAAATATGAATATAGAACCTTCCCTTATGGGTCACTCTCTCTATTTACCACTGCACCTTGTCTATCCACATAAATTTATTAGTTGGTTTACATTTCTCTCTCTTTTTAAAAGGACATGAATGAGCCATCAAGCTTTGTGAATGGAACAACTAGTAATCAATGCAGAAATAGCCAGCTAAATTTCCCACCTTATTTCCCAGGTACAATGTTACTGTTATGCGTTGCTATGGTCGTGCTGTTGTTATTTAGCAATCAGTCTCGGATGCAGAGAATAGGATATACTTTTCTAGTTCTCACTACCCACCCACATTCTCAGAACTTCTTGGCCTGTCTCCAGTAATATTTAACGCTGTACTGAGGAAAGAAAAATTAGGAAACATGTTTTATACAAGTGAATGGAAATCTGAATTTGTTTGAGATTGTTTGGTTTTCTTAAAAATCTTCTCAGATTTGAATATTCCAAGTAGATAAAAAAAAAATAAAATTTTTTTTACGGGCTGGCAGGTAGCTTAGTGTATAAGGTGCTGGACTCTCACATGGCCAACTATGGTCTGAGCCCCAGACCTGGTAGCTTGAAAATCACACCAGGCATGTGTGTGTCCCAAAATGACAGGAAGAAAATAGAGGAGAAGGGATTGTGGCCTGGCCAACCCCTGGGGAGTGATTTCTCATTTTCGCTCTCTGTTTATCTTTGGTGAGCACATGTTCCCTATAGCAACAAAAACAACAAAAAAATCTTTTAGAAAGGTTTATTTATTTATTTATTTAACACTTTTATTTACCAAGGGTAAGGCCTTGGAATCTCAGCTGGCCAATCATTGCTTGAGTTTCAGACCTGGTGGCTTGAAAATCATTCTGGGCATGTGTATACACATGCCAAAATTCCAGGAGGAGAATGGAGGAGAAAGGATTGCCATGTGGCCATCTCCCACTGGGGGATGATTTTTCACTTTCCCCTCTCACTGTCTTTTTCTGGCAAGCACATATTCCCTGTGGCAAAAACCTAAAAAACAAAACAAAAAACCAAAAAAAATGTCTTACCAAAGCTGAAAAAACACTACTAACACTTCACTCAGTTCTGACCACAGTAGGAAAGACCCAGCTCTTCAGCTTTCTCTGATGTAGGCAGAGGATGAAGTTCTGAAAGAAGATACTTTAAATCAAACGCTGGAGATTTAACATTTCCAGACTCTTAACTTTAGGGCTTTGTTTTAGTAAATGAATTTAAAAATTCAATCAATATTTTCCATCTAAATGCTTAATCAATAGTTGACATTTAGCATTGTACTTATCGTTCAGGATTTTATTAGTTTATGTACTTTAGTTCAGTTGTGGACCAGGTTTCTCTTGTATCATTTTCATGAACAAAGTGTACAAATGCCTAAAATGAAAATAATATATTTTTAAAAAAGAATATACAGGTATGAGTTACACACTTAAATATAGGGCATTTTATAACATATTCATTTTTTCTTTTTTGTTGATCCTCCCAGAGCTCACAAAAAGAACGGATGGGTTACATTTCCGAACTATGTGCATGGAAACTGAGCAGATTCTCAGTGATGGGTCATCAGTTTTGCATTACGACGTTCACAATCTTTATGGGTGGTCACAGATAAAACCCACTTATGAGTAAGCAAAGTTCACATTATCTTCTCTGATTTTTATCCTTTAGATCTTAAAATTAGTGATCCTTAATTTGAGTCTGACTGATCCTCTCTGATAGTCCTTTCCATCTCAATTGTTCTCTGTAACTTACTCTTCCATAGCTCTTAGGAAACTCATTTCTGTATATCTATTGATCTGTTTATCTACCTACCCAGGTATCTATCTGTATACACATAGGCATGTATATAAGTATGTATGTATCTTTCTATACAGGTTCTTATTTTTGTTCACTTTTATCTTAATCCCCAAAAAAATACTTACACCAATTTAACTATTTAACCCTATTTTTTCAGTCCTGTACCCAGCATAATGCCTGGAAAATAGTAGGTCCTGAATGAATAAAGTTGAATGAATAAGTAAAATATAATTTGATGTCATTGAATAAGCTATTATAGCTTGGATAAATAAATTCTTTCAATTCATTATTAGCCATTACCTTGTTCCCAGTAAATTTAACAGGAATTTTCTTCTAACATACAAGTAAGAAGTTTTAAGTTAATGAATACAATATTATTTCTAGTTTCAAAAGATGTTTTACTATATCATCTTATGTCTGCTTAATGCATTTTTAGTTTCTTGAAACTAAAAATTTTAAGATATTCATTTACTAAATTTTAAGATATTCATTTACTAAGATATTCATTTTAAGATATTCATTTACTAAAAATTTTAAGATATTCATTTACTAAAATTTTTTTGAACTACTATTTTATATCCATCACTGTTCTTAATGTAAGAAAGAAAAGGAAGAGTAAAACGAAGCACTGAATCTCAGGATCTTCAAGGTCTCTCGGAAGAAGCTCTACATTAAGTAAATCAGTGATAACACTTGCATAATAAGCTGTAACATGGAAATGATTTAATATCATTGATAGCAAACTATTAGTAACTTAGTGATTCACCTAATTAAGTACTTGAGGTATCTTCTCCTGAGATATTTCTATAGTTCTGATTAATATAAAATTATTTTGAGTGATATAAAAATCACCTTCTTATTTCCAATAATATCATGGTGAAATATTTTTCTATCTTTATCATCTTATGACCTCAGTTTAAATTAGTAAGAAAGAGAGACAGAAATACAGAGGGCAGAAAACAAAAGAGGTAAAAAGATTAAAAGATTCAGGTAATATGAAATAATTCAGTGTTCCATTATTCTCTAAACTATATACATACATATATTTATTTATTTATTTGCCACAGGGCACCTGCATTTGCCAAAGAAAGACCAAGAGAGAGGGAAAGTGAGAAATCACCTCCATGTGGGGATGATCAAGCTCCCCCCCCCCTTCTCCTCCATTTTCTTTCTGGAATTTTGAACATGCACATACACATGCCTGGCATTGAGTTTCAAGTTGCCAAGTCCAGGACTCAAACTGTGGTTGGCCATGTGAGAGTCCAGTCCTTTAATCACTATGCCATCTGCTGGCCCCAAAACTATATTATGTTTTTAAGTGCCTAAGTGATTAAAGTCACTCTCTAAAGACATGAGCAAAGAGATAAAATTTGACCTTACCTGTATAATTCATCCACTTGATGAGATCTGAATAGGAATAGGTTTAATACTTGAAACAGGGCAGCTGTTTCTAGCTTTAAGAACCAAGAAATCCTTGCTCTCATTAAATTTCCTGTAAAACAGAGAGTGCTATCGCAGGGATTCCCTGCTGAGTAATATTTACATCTAATGTTGAAAGTTATAATCGAGAAGGGTTGGGATCATGAATAGTTAAGGCCTAGACCTTAATTAAAAAATAACATATTTTAGTAGACTAAGCATTTAATTTGATTAATTAGTTGATTGGATGCCATTAATAGTTACTTGACTAAGCTTGTATCCATTGACCAAATATGTAAAGGTCAATTCATATCTGCATGTCACTCTGGTAAATATTGGAAGGAAAGAAAGATGTCTTTTATTTCTGGGAGGGTTTTGCAGTATGACAAGAGAAGATTTATATGTAAAGAGTAAGTTGTATGAGTCAACATAAACACCATCAATCAGTTTATTTTTCCCACAAAGTGACTATAAATAGAAGTATTTGAAGAAAATATGCCATGTGAAAACTCAAAATAATCCTTGATCTCTCTCAGTGCATTGCAGAAGACAACTGGCAAACGAGGGATTGTTATTTCTCGTTCTACGTATCCTACGGGTGGACGTTGGGGAGGACACTGGCTTGGAGACAATTATGCAAACTGGAACAATTTGGACAAATCTATTATTGGTATGTGAGAGTCTCCATCTTTGTTAGTATTATTGTTTGCATTTTCTATTAGGTATTCACTTTTGCTGATGATAGTTCATGTACTTTATAAATCCTCAGAATTATATTTTTGAATCATTTGTTATGACTCATCATCTCATGAAAAGACCATGAGCCAAGAAGCATGATCTTGGATATTGTATAGAAAGTATTGATTTGTAACTAGTTTAGTTTCTTCAGTTTGGCTTCAGTTTCCTAGTTGAAAATGGCAGGAACTAGGAAAGAGAAGATCTAGATTTCAAAATAGGAATGGGCAAAAATTCTGCATTCTAGGGAATAAGAATCTTTGCTAGATGCTGTGTAATGTCTCCTTTTACTATAAATAAAGACTTCCAGTTCGTCTGGGCAACACAAGTTGCTTGGGCTACCTAGGATTAGGCTGCCTGTGTCCATTTCTACTCTGTATCTTTGTCTCATTCTTTCCAGTTCCCAGGTCCTGGCAAGATGGAGGGCTTTCTCTTTCTCGTCCTCTTTCCCTTCCTCACCAGTAGCCCCCTGATCATGATTCAGCCAGACCCAAGCCCTGGGGCAGACACCGACAAGATGCTAGAGAATGAAATGTCTCAAATCAAATTTTGAAATTTTTCTGATAATAGTTAGATAATTGATTAATAAGACATCATCATTTTAATGGGAAAATATATACGTTTCTGCTTCATGTTTATTCTTTAAAAATCTTTACTGGATTAGCTGATGGTATGAGGTTAAGGTAGCTGGACTGTACTCGGCTGACTGTTTGGTTTGAGTCCTGGATCTTGTAGCTTGAGAAACATACCTGGCACATGTGCATGCATGCCTAAAATCCCAAGAGGAGGATGGAGGAGAAGGGATTGTGGTATGGATGATACCCCTAGGGCAGGATTTCTCAATTTTTCTATCTCTCTCTCTCTCCTCTCTCTTTCTGGTAAGTGCACATGTCCTATGGTGAAACTAAAAGAAAATAATTATAATGCAACAAAAATTTTAAAAAAGTCTTCAATATTGATAAAATATTGTTTTTCAAAGAAAACAATTACTAGTCAGAAATCTCTTCTTCTAAAAGAAGAGCTAGGAAATCTCCCAAATGCATTCTATTTTACTAAAGTGATCATTCCTCAGAGGAACTTATTGAATGAGGATAATATAGTTTGTTTCAAATTATAATACCTATGGTTAAATAACTGCAGAAGCAACCTCTTTATTTTCAAAATAAACTGGGAAAACCACTGTCACTTTCTTTTCACACTATTGTGTGTTCATAAAAGATTTCTGCTCTAAATATGTCAGCTTGCAAGTGTTAAGGAAGTTCATAATGCCTTATTTTTATTAACATCATTAACTATAAAGTTAAAATGTCTCAGTATTATGAGAAGTGTTGGAAAAGTATGTTAATAATCTAAAAATATTTTATTACATTGGAGATTTATATATGAACTAGGTCATGTTCACAAATAGAAATAAAAACAAATATTAAAATATGTAAAACAGTAGATTTCTAAGTTTTTTTTTCTTTCTAATTTTTAAGGTATGATGGAATTTAGTCTCTTTGGAATATCATATGTAAGTAACCTTATTCTTTTGTTTTTAAACTTGTAAATATTAAGAGACAAGCTATTGAAAATTAATTTATTATCTAATATATTTTAGACTGGAGCAGACATCTGTGGTTTCTTCAACAATTCAGAGTATCAACTGTGTACCCGCTGGATGCAACTTGGAGCATTTTACCCTTACTCAAGAAATCACAACATTGCCAATACCAGAGTGAGTAATTAATGAATTTAGTTTCAGTTGTTTCCCTCAAGCAACCTTAGGAGTGTTTCAATGATGGGACCAGCAGTTAGTGTAATGGCTATGTCGCTGAACTCCCAGGTAGCTGACCGCGGTTTGAGTCCTGGACCCAGTGGCTTGGCTTAAACTCACGCCGGGGGCGTGTGTGTGTGTGCCCAAGATCCCGAGGGGAGAATGGAGGAGAAGGAATTGTGGCATGGCCATCCCCACTGGGGGGTGATTTCTTGCTATCTCTCTGCCCTATAGCAAAAAAAAAAAAAAAGTGTTTCAATGATGCATCCTACCTGACTGGTTTGCAGATGAATGTTTTGAAATCCTTCTTATTTAGAGGCCATCTGAATTCATCACTTAGAATTTTCTGACTTTGGCTACACTTAATCATATGTGAGAACACACAGCTTAGTACATACTTCATGCTGTTCCATAAAACTTTGGAGGAGACAGGAAAAAACAAATCTGCGTCTTTAGCTTCCAAACTATGACAGAAAAATAAAGAAATCAGCTTTGAACTAGTTAATGGAAAGCAAAAGTCATTAGTATCAGTGAATGACATAAGTAGAATTGGAGGACAAATGTTGATGTGGTGGTTAAGGCAGTTGGATCTCACATGACCAATGACGCAGTTGGAAGCCCAAATCTTACAACTTGAAAAACATGCTAGGCCTGTGTATATATGTGTGTGTGAGTGCACGTGTGTGCGCGTGTGTGCCCAGAGTACCAAGAGAAGAATGAAGAAGGGGTTGTGCATGGTCACCCCCCTAGGAAGGTGCTTTCTCACTTTCTCTCCTTGCCAAGTGGATTGAAAATTTTCAACTTTGAAGATCTTGAAAAAGCTCACCACTAAAGTTATGTGATAGTCCTTTTTATTCCCCTGGGAGTAATTAAAATATAAAATACTAATCATTTTTCTTGTCTACCTTTTAATATGTGAAGCAACACTTTTTTATAGGCTTCTAATCCTCTACTTTCAAAAAAAATTTTGAGAGGTTTTTGCTATAGGGTGTGTGTGCTCCCCAGAAAGACAGAGAGAGACAGAGAGACAGAAAGTGAGAAATCACCCCCCAAGGGGGTTGGCCACATCGCAATCCCTTCTCCTCCATTCTCCTGTCAGGATCTTGGGCACACACGCACATACACACATGTGCCTGGCGTGAGTTTAAGCCACTGGGTCCAGGACTCGAACTGTGGTCAACTACATTGGAGTCCAGTGACATAGCCATTACACCAAGTGCTGGTCTCCCTCTACTCTCAACTTTTATCTTTTATTTGGAGTGTGAATTCCATAGCAGACTCATATATTATATATATACACATACACACACGCATATATATATATATATAGATAGATAGATAGATAGATAGATAGATAGATATATTTATTGCATTCAACATTAAATCCTCTAGCATTCAACATTAAATCCTCTTTTCTTCTTTTCTATCTGTATAACTAATATTTTAGAATCATAATGTATTCATTTATCATAAGGACTTACAATGTACAGAGTTGTTATACATGTGTCAATTTCTTTCATTCCACTTTTGTATATCACATCATTTTGTTTCCCTTAAATTTCTCACTCCAATTTTGAGGATCATCATAGTTGACAATATCTTTGTCATCTATTAAAATGCAAAGTACTGGGGAACCTGCAGATGGCAAAATGGTTATGTGGCTGGATTCCCATGCAGAAGATTGCAGTTCAAGTCCTAGACACAGCAGCCTAAACCTCACTCTGAATGAGTGTGCTTGCATGCCCAAGATTCTGAAAGGAGAATAAAGAAGGAATTGTACATGGCTCTTCCCCCTGGGAGATGACTTCTTGCTATCTGTTTCACCTCTCTGTATCTCTCTCCAGTGAATGCACAAGCCCTATAGAAAATATCTCTATCAAAAAATAGTGAAGTTCCTTTTGTATATGTTTACCTAAATTAAATCAAGTTGCTCTCCTAACTTGCAAATTTCTTATTAAAATATTAAAATGATGTCTTCTCCATTATACAAGGCAGAATATCATTGCATAAGATTTTAGTGAGGAAAATACACAGCGTGTGAAAGTGAAGTAATATTACGTCTTACTTGAGCCAGCAGATGGCATGGTGGTTAAGGTGCTGGACTCCCATATGTCCACCACAGTTCAAGTCCTGGACCTGGCAGCTTGTTTTCTCAATTTCCCTTTCTGGTGAATTAATAATAAAAATAATAAACAATTCCTTTTTTTGAGAGAGAGAGATTTTTGCTAAAGCCCACATGTGCTCACTGGAGAGACAGAGAGACAGAAAGTGAGAAATCCCCCCCAAGGGAGGATGGTCACAATACAATCCCTTCTCCTCCACAATGCAATCCCTTCTCCTGGGATTTTGGGCACACACGCGTGCACACATACACACACACGGCTTGTGTGAGTTTCAAGCTACCGGGTCTGGGACTCAGTACTACATCATCATGGACGATGATGCAGGAGTCCAGCACCTTAACCATTACACCATCTGCTGGGCCCAGCAATTCTTTAAAATCAATAACATGGTTGACTTTTTTCCCTCCAAATATGTATTTAAATATTATAATTTAAATAAGGACAAACACCAATAGCTATATCATTTTGTTTGTTTCAGAGACAAGATCCTGCATCCTGGAATGAAACTTTTGCTAACATGTCGAGGAATATTCTAAATATTAGATACACTTTATTGCCATATTTCTATACGCAAATGCATGAAGTTCATGCTCATGGTGGCACTGTTATCCGACCACTTTTGCACGAGTAAGTACAAAGTTTGTTTTCCCCTGTTATATAGCTTTCATTTAATTGACTCAATATTCACAGTGCTATATAAAACATTTTAGATAGAAAATTTTTTATGGCTTTTAGCACACAGTTTGAGCTAATAAAACTGTTACATTAATAAATCTACTAATTAATAGACTAATCTATGCTATTAAAATGACACATTAATCATTATTAAAAAGTAATCATTTTTTAGGAAGAAATATTGTACACCAAGTGTTGCTTAAGATGCTTCTTATACATAATCATATTAAATATTTTCAGAAATTTTGGAGATAAATAATACTGTCTCTCATGATTTAATGGAGTTTACTGTAGTTAAGTAAATTATGTTCAACTAAATTTTATTACATTACTTCAAAAGGTCATTGAAAATGAAATTAAGGTATGAGTTTATTTTGGTGCAATTAAATTCTGATGCGACCACCAAGTGGCATGATTGTTAAGGTGCTGGGTCTCACATAGTTGACTCTGCACTTCAAGTCCTAGACCTGGAAGATGGAAAAATACGCTAGGCACATGTGTATGTGTGCTCAGAGATCCCAGGAGGAGAATGGAGGAAAAGGGATTGGGGCATGACTATCCTCCTGTGGGATACTTTCTCACTTTTCATCTCTCTGTCTCTCTGTCTAGCAAGCACATGTGCCCTATGGCAAAAATACAAAAAAATTAAGAAGAATAATTCTGATTCATACTGTTTTTATGTTACATTTTCCATGAATTTTTGAAGACCGTTTCTATAGATATTGACTGTAGAATGCCATCCTCCTTCCTTAGGTGCGCTAGGAAAGTATGATAGAACAGTTCTAAAATTCTCCTTAGAAATTTGTTTTGGCTTCGCCTCTTGAAGCTTCAACTGATATAAAAAAGAACTTTGCAAGTTTCATTCTGTGGAGCAAAATTGCAAAGATTTTAGCCCATTTTGTTTTGAAGGCCAAAGCAGATGTTTTATGTTGGATGTTACAAGAAACAAAACACACGAACAACAAAACCTTAAAATAGTAATGCTGAGCTTATCTCTAGTGTACCCTGCATTATTAATAGAGGAGAACTTTATGGAAGCGACTTGTTAGATTTCATTCTTTATAAACCAATAGAATAATGACACATATCTACCCAAATTAAAAAAAAATGGCATCAAAGTAAAATTACCAAAACAACAAGTTGATCAATATGATTTATCTTTTGATAAAAAGATAATAGATATCCAGTTCTCTAAAAACAAACAAACAATTATCTTAGATTTTAAATTATGTTCTAGTTGCTTTTAATTTATCTCCCCATAATTTTTGTTGTATTTCTGGTAACATTTATTAATCTCCTTTGTATTCTATTGATGGACTTTCCCTTTTGTCTTACTCCTTTTAACATCCTAGAGTAGTTGTTGTATTAGCTACGGACTGAGTCCCCAACCAAAAACATGATGAACTATTCAGACTCTTATTGAGAATACCAGAAAGTTCACTCTCACAGGAAGGGAGAAGTACAATTAAGCATTAATCTCATTTTTTATTTAAGCAAAATAAAACAAGCACAAAAGTAAATTACAAAAGAAAAAAAATGGTGTTGGTGGCATGATGTAACCATTGTGCTGGATCCCACATAGTTGACACCAATTCGAGTCTCTGAACTAGCAGATTGAAATACATGCCAGGTACGTGTGTGGGTGTGTGTGCCCAAAATCCCTAGAAGAAATGGAGGAAAAGGGATTGCAGTGTGGTCATCCCTGTTGAGGGGGTGACTTTTCAATTTTTCTCTCTCTCTGTCTCTCCAGTGAATGCAAAAGCCCTATGGCAAAAAATAAATTAATTAATTAAATTGTATGAATAAAAAACTTTTCTCTTTCATTTCAATTAGAGAGTAAATGTGAACATCTACTAGTAGCTATTCTCAAACTATAAAAAATGTCTTATGCTATTTCTAGCAGGTTATTACTTAAATTCAGAGGTATATTAACATAAAAGGATCTTTTTTTAAATTCTTTTTTATTTAATTTTATTTATTTATTTTAATTTGAGCAGAGAGGAACAGAATGAGAAACAGACAGAGAGAGAGAGAGAGAGAGAGAGAGAGAGAGAAAGTGAGAAAGCAAACCACCAGGTCTGGGACTTCAGGCATTTTGAGCTAAAAAATTGTTCCATTAATAACTCTACTAATTAATAGACTAATTACCACAGTCAGCCATGTGGGAGTCCAGTGCCCTTAACCACCACTCCATCTGCTGGCCCCAACACAGAGAAGAATCTTTAAGGACATGTAAATTCACTGTTCTCAGAGTTCTACATTAAGTAGGATAAACTCTTTTTGAATGTTCTCAGTTAAGATTCTTATAGCACATAGCTCACAGTGCTCTTCCAAGGTATTTATATTTTTTGTTTCTAGTTTTAATACCATATAATAGGCAAAATTAGTGTTCATTCTTCTAGCAATTCTCATCCAGGTGATTTATTATTCAGTTGGTCTTACACGTCCATCACAGTTCATTGCATTTTCTCTGGAATTGCAATCATAGGCTAGATTTACCTATGAAGTATTATATTCCTATGAACTGCATTTCAAATGATAGAGCTCTGTTTGATATTTTTATAGTGCGGTTTTCATTTTAATACACAAAAGTCCATATTGCAAAATGTAATTTGAGTAATTACTTTGTAATATTCAGAAAGAGATAAAGTTCTTTGACTTAACCTAATAATGTGCAATGATTTTGTCAAGGTTCTTTGATGAAAGGCCAACCTGGGATATATTCAAGCAGTTCTTATGGGGTCCAGCATTTATGGTTACACCTGTCCTAGAACCTGTAAGTCCTACTATATATTTTTGTCCACAAAAGCATTTTTTCTTTGATTGATAGGTTTTTCATGACTGTATCTTTACATTCTAGAATGTTGAGACTGTGGAAGGCTATGTTCCCAATGCTCGATGGTTTGACTACCATACAGTAAGTATTTAAGGAATCCTGGGTAACTGACTAAATGGAAATAAGCCCAGTTTCATCCTAGCCTGTTCATTAATGATGCATTTGTTTTACTTTCCACTCAAGGAGCCTAAGCTATGTCTTGCTAATTGTAGCCGAATCAAGTTAACACACAGTGCGCGTGAAATTATTCCGCTGTAATTTGTTACTTAGTTACTGATTTTTGTTGGCAAATATGCATGGAAAACATACATTACATACAAAAGGGTCACCTTGCTTTGTTGGGTATGCAAAATGATCATTAAAGGTAATGTCATCTTTCCAAATATAACATATATGGCAAGTCCAGAATAAATATTGTGACTTTTCAAAAATTTGCATATTTTCTCCAAAAAAAGAAGCGGCTGTAAATTACTTTAAAAGTTATCATAAACACTTATATTTAACTAGGAACTAAGACTGTGCTTTTTAAAAAAATTATTTTATTTTATTTATTCATTTATGTATTTTAATTTTACCAGAGAGAGAGAGAGAGAGAGAGATAAAGTGAGAGAGCAAGCTGCCAGGTCCAGGACTTGAACCGTGGTTAGCCATGTGGGAGTGTCCAGCACCTTAACCACCACGCCACCTGCTGGTCCCCAAGACTGTGCTTTTTAAAGATCAAGTTTATTGTGCATATTTCAGGTATGCCACATGTTATGGGACACATACAAATAACAGTTACTACAGTCAACATTTATTTATTGAGGAAATGTTTTCATTACTTTTTAAATTGAAAACTGTACTAACTCATTTTATAACTATGCCTCCCTCAGTACCAATGTTTCTGATGAATGTGCTTCACTCCATCTCTCTCATTGACAGCGCCAAGATATTGGCATCAGGGGACAATCTCACTTGTTTGATGCTCCGTATGACACAATAAACCTACACGTCCGTGGTGGTCACATCCTACCATGTCAAGAGCCTGCTCAAAACACCTTTTACAGGTAAGTTCAGATTACAGAGTCCAGATTAGTTTGGATATACATCACGATAATATTGTCAGCAACTAAGAAGGGTTTGCGATTTTACCCCAGTTGTAAACTGATGACTTAGCCTGGCTCAGCATCATGGACGTCAGGTCAAAGAAACAGGTCTTGATTATTCATGGTGTGGTGGAACTCATATTAGCATCAGCTTTTTCTTGTCCCCTAGTTTCCATGGGGTTGACATGCTGCGTATGTAAGGCTTTGTGTCACAGCTGAGGAACGCCAAGTCTAGGGAAGTACGATCTTTAATAGGGCAGCCAGTAAACCTATCCATAATCTTTGCTTCAAAGGGAGAGATTATTTTTATTACACTGGAGAGTAAAATAATAATAATAGATATTATTATTTCCTAAAAGTCACATCGTGCCTTTCAATGACATTCCCTTTTACGATATCCTTAAAAAGATAGCTTAGAAAAAAAAATATAAAAGATAGCTTAGGGGCTGGCAAGTGGTGTGTTGTTTAAGGCACTAGAGTTCTGTATGACTGACTGAGTTCAAGTCCTGTACCTGGTAGTTTGCTTTCTAACTTTACCCGCCCCCTCTCTATGGGTAAAAATAAGAATAATAAATATAATTAAATAAAATTTTCTTTTAAAAAAAGAAAAGACAGTTCAGAAGAAAATTTGTCAGTGCCTCTACATGTATGATATGCAAAATGCAAGAGATGCATCGAAAATTGTGTTCTCCCAGAATCCCCTCTTAATGTAAGAAAACTTTCTAGATCAACATATAAACTTAAACTTTATTATTTGTATAATTTGCTAGAGGGCATTTACACTTGCTGGAGAGAAGAGAGAGGCAGGGAAATTGAGAAAGCACCCATCCATGGGGGATGGTCATCCACAATTCCCTCTTCTCTTTTTGAGATTTTGGGGCATGCATGCACATATGTCAGGCACCTTTTTCAAGCTTGTGGGTTCATGGCCTCGAACCACACAAAAGTCATCATGATTTTCCCCCTATGATAAGGTTTTAATTACTTAATGAAAAAGACTCTCAAAATAAATATTTTCAAAAATACTCAATTTGTTAGAGTAGTTTTGGCTTCACAGCAAAATGAAAAGGAAGTTCCAGAAATTTCCCATATGCCCCCATATGTCACATCCCTCGTTAGTAATATCTTCCACCACAGTGGTACATTGATACAACTGACAAACCTTCACTGACATATTAACACACGAAATCTGTAGTTTACATTAGGACTCACTGTCAGTTTTGTACATTCTTTAGATTTGGGCCAAAATATAATGACATGTCTTCACAATTGGAGGACCGTGCAGAGCAGTTTTCCTTGCTTAAACATCCTCCGTATTCTGCCTCTTCTGTACTCCAACCCATGGCGACCTCTGATCTTTTCACTGTCTCCGTCATGTTGCCTTTTCCAAAATGTCATATCATTGAAATAATACAGTATGCAAACTTTTCAAATTTGCTTCCGTCATTTAGTAACAGGCATTAACGTTCCTCCAGGTCTTTTTTTACGGCTTCATATCCCCTTCATTTTTAACACTGAATAATACCCTACTTGATGTACATTTTTATAAGCTTTAAGTCCGTGTCGCTCAGAGAACTTCTCTTACTTTTCCATCTCTTTTCTGTTTCCCTTTCTCTGCCTTCCCCTGTCTTTCCCGTGATGTATTTCCACACTCATTATAGTCCATGAAAATTTAGATAGGCATTGAAAAATCACCACCTCATTCAGTTACTAAGTTCCCTGCTGTCAACAGAGGATTCAGAGGTGTTTCTTTGTGGCTTTGTCCCTTAGTAAGATGAATATACGGGCCAGTCCTTAAGTCACTGCTACAAGCTATTTCTTGCTCATTCCAAAACATAAAAGAGAGCTCGCAAATGAATAGACTCCCACACCCCCCCCCCCCCCACCGGGCAAAACCCTTAACCTTTCTAGGACT